AAAGAAAGAAAGAAAGAAAGAAAGAAAGAAAGAAAGAAAGAAAGAAAGAGAAAGAAAGAAAGAAAGCAGTCTCTTTCTTTAATGGAAATATACATGGATGATAAATAGTGAGAGTCCTCTGCAAAGCAAGAACAAAGATCCTCATGAGACCACCAGATCTGTATACTACACTGAGCATAGAAAGGCAGTTGATTAAACTTCTCTCACTAAATACCTTATAAAATACTTAGTAGGAAATAAACTCTTGTGTCTGGTTGTTCCACAGGCAATTTTTCCATAAAATGCTAACCTGTTCATAAGTAAATAAAAAGCTTCCAGCAAAAAATACTAACAATTATGTTATTCATTTTCCACAAAATCTTATAGTCATCATACCAATCTCACTTACCTAGCCTAGGACATGATTTTTCCTTGAAGTCGTCACAGTCCACACATGAACCAGCATGGAAATCTTTGTATGAAGGACAAGGAAATGAAATAAAATTGCAGGTTGTTTCCAAAGATGCCATGAACAAGTAAACGGCTCTCTGGTGACTGCATTTAATAAATGCAACGCCTTAAGTGTTAAGAAACAAAAAACAAAAAACAAGCAAAAGAACTGCAGATGTATTAAACCAAGTTCAAGCAAATTAGAGAAAAAAATTAAAGGTTAAGTTCTACTCAATACCATGCACTTGTGAATACTGAAATGTTGCCTGACCACAATGTGCCGTTTTATCTCAAGCAGCTAGAGGTAGTACCATTGAAAATGTAAATTCAGTATGCTTTTACAGGAGATTTAAAAGACATTTTTCTAAAGTAATAATTGCCACAGGGGAAAAATGTGTTTGATTTCAATAATCTGACACACTACAAACACAGTGCCACAACACTTAAGGGCTATGTACACATGGTTCTCTTCTAACCCCTCACCCCTAATATTTCTATTTAATGTCAGAGAGGATTATGAAACCAGGTAACATTAGAACTTCATTATGTCCCTTTCTTTCCTCAACTTCTCACATCCTTATAACCTTTGATCAAACTTCTCTAGCTACAGTGGGCTTGGGCCATATGTTACTTGACAGGTGTCACTGTAGATGCTTCCTATGGCTCTGAACTGAGCCAAACTCCACACCTGGAGCAGCTGTTTGGCTATTTATGTAACAACCAAGGGCAAGAGATTATGAATCTGTGTTTGTACAATACTATAGTGATGGTAAAGATTAAGTCTTGGAACCAAACTCATGTTATGTGATACTTTGACCAGATTGCTTCTTCAATAACTCAGAACTTCTCCTAATGTTTAAAATAATGAAATACAACTGTTGAAACTAATGTAATAGGTTTCATCATGACCAAATGGTATATCTACTGGTCAACTTTATGAACCAATAAAAACCCAATTAAACCATTTTTCACCAATCACTCTCATTAATCATGAGCAACAGTGATCAAAATCTTGCCCATAGATTAAGAGGGGAAAAAAAGTAAACTGATTTTCTTTCATCATTTTGAATCATCTGTAATTCATTCAAAAATATTATTTGTATACCTGAAAAAATGGATTTGGGACAGCCAGGTTGCTTTTTTCCTCCATTTGCATAAAAATCTATATGTCCCAAAGGTTCATTAATGCCTAAACCTGAGAAGAAAAGCACTCGAGAATCACAAAGTGAACATAATCAGGTCAGCAACACTTGTACAAATAGCATCTCCTATAAATTCCATTGAAAGTGACTCCTACAGTTTGAATTGAAAATAAAATACATGCTATTTTTAAGAAGACGTGTTTTAATGCCTCAAATTAACTCCTCATGAAAATTATGTCATTAATTTAACATATTTATCAGTCACCGATTTACTATGCCCATCACAGTTCTTTGTGCTATGAATATGCAAGTAAAAAAGAAAAAGAGAGAAAAAATCCGTTTTTTTTTTTTGGTGGAAATTAAATTTTAGTGAGAGAAAGACCTAATAAACAAGTAAGAATATAGTATGCCAGATAATAATAAGGGCTGTAGAGAAAACACAAGTAGAACAAGAGTACAGTTAGTGCCTAGTGAGGGTGGCAGGTTGCTCTTTCAAACAGTTTGGTTAGGGAAATTTCCATTGAGGAGGTAGAGTCACACAAAATGTGAAAGATGTAAGACAGTGAGCCAAGCAGGAAACCATGTGAGCGTGCCTAAAGTATTCAAAGAAGCCAGGCTAGCTGGAGTACAACGTGGATGAGGGAGCACTGGAAAGAATGAAGCCAAGTCATACAGGACCTTTTAAGCCAGTGTGATGATTTGCTTGTACCCTGGATAATAAGGCCTAAGACTTGGCACTAGATTCACTAACTGGAAAAATCTAAATATGCTGCTTCAGCTGGAACAAACTGGGCCAGAGTGACATAAACCTGTAGCTATGATTTAAGGGCTTTTGTATATCTGTAGATCCTCAAGACACTGGAGAATTACAAATTCTGAGTCCACGATTACCAATACGGGATCTATAACTTGGGGAAGTCATAGGAATGAAAGAGGGTAACAAGTTCAGAATACTCAGGACTATGATTAGAAATGAAAATCTTGCTGCCAAGTAAGCCTGCTGGGCTTTGGCTTAGGGACTACAAATTTCCTACAACATAATAAACTCTTAAAAGTGATCAGCAATAGATTTATATAACAAAGTAAATACTTGCGGCTGACAGTCAGGATTAAGATGCAGCAACATGATTTAGTTCTAGTATGTAACAGAAAAAGATAACCGTTAGTGAGGTATTTATTACCAGAGCATAAGAACACTGGGCATGTGCAATATTGGGGAGGGGATTCAATGTGTAAGGAAAGGCAAAGAACAATTTTTTTTTCTTTTTTTTTCCTTCTTTTAATGTTTATTTATTTCTGAGAGAGATAGAGACAGAGACAGAGACAGACAGACGATGTGAGTGGGGGAGGGACAGAGAGAGACAGGGAGACACCAAATCTGAAGCAGGCTCCCTAAGCAGGCTCCAGGGTTTTAGCTGTCCACACAGAGCTCCTGAACCACAAGATCATGCCCTGAGCTGAAGTCGGATGCTTAACCAACAGAGCCACCTAGGCACCCCAGCAAAGAAAAATTTGGGTGAATTCATTGGAACTCCTTAGAATTGGGAAGCATAAGTGTGACTTGACTGTAACAGTGGTGAGGGTTTGATAGCCTCTTTATATTCCATCAACTGCCTGCAATTTCCTAAATATGGCCCCAAAAAACAAAAAGTCCAATGATTTTGGAGACCTTTAATTTCCTTATGTCTGAACTCAACATGGAGTTCCAAGAATAGGGGTTCCATGTTGGAGCCATCATTTTCTCCAATCTTCTACTAAAGTAGAATCAAGCCAAGAAGACTCCTCAGGGATCAAAGAGAAGCAAAAGACATTTATATTAACTTAACAAACAGCCCTTGATGTCATTTTCCCTTTATCAGATGGAGGAAGGTGAGCAGTTTGGTCATTTAGGTCATTCATTTCCTTCATTTGAGGAAGTATAGGAAAAGCATATATCACTTTTTAAATTTTCTTTTTATTGTAGTTTATAATACATATATGAAAAAAACATAAAGCTATGGATTAATTACTATCAGGGAAATAGCCAATTAGCTACCACACCAATGTCAACATATAGCACCTGGAAACCCCTACAGTGTTCTTATCTAATCACCAGCTTCTCCTTTTCCTACAATAATAATAACTACCTTTTAATAAAATAATTTTTTTGCTAATCTTTAGCTTCTAAGGATGCCTCCCAAAACATTACAATTTATATTTTCCCATATAAAAATTGACTCATATTCATGTATCCTTTTGTGTATGCTTTTATTATAAACTTGCTTTTTTATAATAATCCAAATTGGGTATGATTCATTATCCATTTTTATATGTTACTGAATTGGTTTACTAGTGTGATGATTTATGTAGAATTTTTGTATCCATGGTTATAATAGAAAATGTCCACAAATTTTCTTTTCTGTAATGTCTGTCTCAAGTTTTGACATTAAATTTATGAAGGCTTTTTAAAAAGGTTTTAAACAGTTTCCTACATTTTTTTTTACTTTTTAATTTTTTTAAACATTTATTTATTTTTTTGTGAGACAGAGAGAGAGAGACAGAGTATGAATGGGGGAGAGGCAGAGAGAGAGGGAGACACAGAATCTGAAGCAGGCTCCAGGTTCTGAGCTGTCAGCACAGAACCTGATGTGGGGATCTAACTCATGAACTACGAGATCGTGACCTGAGCTGAAGTCAGATGCTTAACTGACTGAGCCACCCAGGCACCCTGGGAATTTTTAAATTACAGTTTCTATTTCATTAATAATTATAGAACCAAATTTTCTCTCTTAATTTGTTAGTTTGGTAAATGCTTTTTCTTCTTCATAAAATTTTTCTATTTTATATATCATACCATATAATCATATATTTTCATTTCTGCATAATATTGTTCATTATATCATAATACAGTCATTTTAATACCTGTAGCATCTGTAACACTATCTCCTGTTTATTATTGATATTGTGTCTTCTCTCTTCTATTTTTTCTCTCAAAGAATATATTAACATGGAGAGTGACATATAAAATTTAAGCATTCTATATTTCCTTCATTTCATGGAATGAAGATAAAAATGAGATGTTTTACAAGCTTCATGTATGGGTTTCAAAAATATTTCTGATACCTCTGCATCAGAGAACCTACTATGAGAAAAGTGACTCCAAATCGCCAGTTCACTTCTAGAATTTTTCTAGATGTTGGACTGGTAAGTTTTCCCTGATATCCCAGCAGGAATATTAGCCCAAATTACCTAATTCACAATTTTGGAAGGTGACATAGATTTTTTAACATATACAACTGAATAAGGACAAAACCTATTGGTAAGTAAAAGATGCACTCTGAATAGTATTCAAGGAAGAATTGATCTGTCAGATATGTACTGACCCCAAATATCTCATTCAGAAATTCCTTGAGACAGGTGGATATGCAGCATCAAAATTCTGTGTCCCTCATTTGTGATGGTCATGAAAAGATCAACCAAAGGTGCCAAAACAATGTGGCATTTAGTGGTAAGTTAGATCTGATAGGTTGGGTCATCAAAAGATGTTGAGAATGAAAGACAATATAAAACAGTTTATTAGGAAAATCCAAAAAAAAAAAATAAAATAAAATAAAAAGTAGGAAGAGCTAATTCCAAGGCCATAGGCAGAGCTGAAGTTGGGATTTCAGAAAGAAGAGCTCAGACAAAGAACTGCAGAGCAATTGGGTAGTAGGTGTACTATGTGTGGGAATGCTAAGCTGATATAAGAGCTAGAGATAAGGAAGACGAGAGGTTGAGGTATCACACTAGAACTGTGAACCTTAGGCACTGACTCCCTGTGAGATATAGGTGAACTCAGATTCCACTTTAGAAGCAAAACTGTACCCATATAGGGTTAGCCCAGGCATTGATATTGAGAAATTGTCATCTATGGCATTTATAGAATTTGTATCTCTTGCAAAGGCACTGGTATGGATCACCATGAAGTCAATTCAGAGGACTATGGGAGCAAATAAATTACCTGGACCAAAGAGAAAAGTAACCTGAGGAAATAGGAGAATCAGAATAGTCTTTGCATCACTTCCTCCTTTCTCCATGGTAGCACCATAACCTCCCCATGCCCACAGTGACAACACATGTAAATTATCAGCTAATCAGAGCAAGAAACTGGTGAAGGCAGGCTCTGGAATCAAAAGATTTCAAATTTTTTGAAATTTTGAAATTTGAAATTTCAAAAAATTGAAATTTTGAAATTTGAAAGCGGCTCTGCTGCTTACTGGCCTTGTGACTTTGACTCTAGTTTCCCCATAAGTAAAAAAGAGATGACATTTACTTATCTCATGGGAACTTAGGAGAATGCCATAATTAATTCACATAAAACATTTAAAACACTGCCTGAAGTATATACGAAGTGCTCAATAAATATTAGTATCATCAATTCCAAATCAGAAAAGGGCTTAGGGCCATCTAACTTATTCCTTGAAAGTGCCTGTCCAAAGCATTCTGGACCAAACTATCAATAGCATATTTGACATTTTCAGGAAGATAATTAAAAACAATAGAGAAATTATTTCTCTACCTTTAGGGGAAGGTATTCTTTATCTGTGCCTGAAATGCTGTTTTCATTTCTAGTTGATAGATATCACAGCAAGAAAATGAGTGGAGAATGGTAACCTAAATACATCAGGAACATTAAGCATGGGAGAATTTGTGATCAAATCAAAATTGTCAATAGCATGAACAAGATGAAGTATTTTTTAATCAAATTTCTGCTTTTTAGGATGATAGGACAGGTCTTGAAACCTGAAGGAGGTAAATTGAAGGCAAAAATGCCATGTTAACACCCATAGGATATCACTAACTCCAAGAAATACCACTTGTGGGAAACATAATCATTTTATAATTACAGACTCATCATCACTTTATCCACTAATCTTCCTCCTTTTATGTTCTCTGCATCCCAATGTCTACATCTCCTTTTCATTTTCAAGTAATTAAGCAATAAATCCTACATTGTTACCATTGATATCAGAATGGATGACATCCACAAACTTTGCATCAGTGTAATCTAATCTGAGATCACATGGCTGTCCAGAGAACTTTGGCCCAGCTGGGTCAAGACCTGAAATTCAAGAAAGAAACTATCAATCAGTTAATCAACTTCTACTATAGTGTTTATTAGATCATATGTTTGCATTATTATATTATAAACATAAGTCTATATAGCTTTAAACTTGTCTAAAAACTAATCTAAATATAAATGAAATTGGATGAATAGCAAATATCTTCATTATCTGAATAATTTATACCAATCTTCCGAGTTTACCAACAATCTAGTGTTAAGCCACACTAGAAATGCCTCAACAAAATATTGTAGGTTTTTTTTTAGCATTTTTATTTAAGAAGTACTTAGAGATAAACTGGTAGTATTTTTATAGTTAATAAGTAACTACTACTTTTCCTGGAGGGGAAGGGGAATGAGTAATAGCCTGGTCCTATCTTGAACTTCATGCCTTACTAGTTCATCCCAGATCTATCTGCAGTTCTAAAATGAATTTTAAGTGCCAAATACAATTTGTGGTGGGGTATAAAACATAATTATTATTATGTTATCATTTATTTTCCACCAAAAGCTTCCCATATACACACAAGAAAAGAAAAATGTATTAAAATTTCCATGGAATATAGATATTATTTCTGGTGCATGTGAAATTCTACATAGAAATTCTAGGCTCATGACCTACTGGCAACTGTCAAAAAGGGGCAAAGAGGTAAAATTCAACACCTTGAGAACATCTGTGCAATGGGAGATACACTCATCTCAAAAAAGAGATTTTTTTAAACTAAAATATAATGTTGCTCATCCCAAGCCCTTCTATTTTCCCTAGTGTATTTAGCCCACTTGACTGAATGAGGCAGAAACTTCTCTTTTCATAAATAATTCTGATGTAGAACTACTACACTTGCTGGAATTTTAAACCCTGATGATTGCTTGACATGTGGAGCCATTCAAACTGGACTAATGTGTGAATAAACACACTTTAACATAAAGTAGGATTACTGTGATGGTTGAAAGAGAAATAGGCTTTGGTTGCTAGAAAGCTTTGCATAAATCCTGGCTTAGCTGTTAAGAACGTTTGACCTTCCTACATTCATTCAGTTAACCTGTTTTCGTATCTGTATAACAGGGATATTACTAAAACTGATCAAAGTAAGAAAGGTATACTTAAAGTTTGTAAAGCTCTTACTTATGCAATTTATTCACCTCTCCCCTCCCCCTTTGCTTCAACTTAATACTCTACTACTTTTATTAACACTCAAAATCATTATAAATCTTCTACAGACACATATCTCAATAATTGTTTTAAAAAAACAACTATAGGGCACTTGAGTAACCGGACTATAGGGCACCTAGGTGTCTGACTCTTGATTTCAGCTCAGGTCATGGTTTGGTTTCCACACTGACAGTGGGGAACCTGCTTGGGATTCTCAGTCTCCCTTTCTCTCTGCCCTTCTTCTCGTGCTTTCTCTCTCTCTCTCTCTCTCTCTCTCTCTCTCTCTCAAATAATAAACCTTTTTTTTTTTTTTTAAGCTAAATTGGTTGGGGAAGGATACTAACTTTCTGGTTCTAAAATCACCACCATTCCCAAAAGGAAGCATGAAAATCCACATCAGCATTATTTGGCTACTAAACTTTCTGCATGCAGGAACTCTGTGAAGGAAAATATGAGAGGAATCAGGATCTAGACTCCCTCAAGCCTGGTTGTCAACTCCTGATTCTCTCTTCTGATGTTCAAGTAAAATTTTTAAAAGAACTGAAATATGTTAAAGTTTATGAAAATTAAATACATGGGTATATATTTAGTTAATACATGAAAAAAGTTTTATAAAAAAAAGTTACAGAGGGAAGGAGGCAAACCATAAGAGACTCTTAAATACTAAGAAGAAACTGAGGGTTGATGGGGGGTGGAAGAGAGGGGAAAAATGGGTGGTGGGCATTGAGGAGGGCACCTGTTGGGATGAGCACTGGGTGTTGTATGGAAACCCATTTGACAATAAATTATATTTAATATAAAAAAAGAAAAAAGTTTTATATTTAATGAGTCAAGCTTTTCTCTGGATTATTACAATAATAGGTTCTTAAAATTCACATGGAGCTGCAGAAATTGATCTTCCTCCCAGTTCTATATGAGCACTTCAACACTGCTTAGAACTAAAGAAAGAAGACTTTAGAATCTAACTAAAACAAAGGCGAGCATTGAATATAATACAGAAAAAAATAATGTGCATCATTTTTACTGTTTAACTATTGTGCCTGTTAACTTGTAAATAAAGTAATTTCTAATGGTTAAAATTATGCTAAAACACTAATTTTATCAAAAATATTTTACCTGTAATTCTTCCAAGTTGACCTTGAAATATCTTTCCAACAAATCCACTAACATGAGCCCCTAAGCTCATACCTATGAAATGAAAATTATCAAGAGTCGCTCCATGGTTCTGCAATTGAAAATGAAGTGTTATGATTTTCATTTCAGAAATCACAAATTATGCCTTGTGCATCAATATTATAGTATTCACTATTTTTTTTTTTCTGGTTTAATACATTTCTGGGAGATAGAGAATGGGATTTTATAATTTCAAAACAACATATTGTTGTTCAACTTTTTCCATAAGATATCTGATTTTTCTCAATATATTTTTAGTAATAACATTAAGCTTTTAAAAACCTTTGTTATCTATTATCTAAAATAGTATATGCAAAATAATATATTAATTAATAAATAATTTTGTAATAATAGTAATAGACATTAACAGGTACTTAACTTGAATAAGTGTTTTATAACTATCATATTCCATTAACTTGAATAAGTGTTTTGTAAATCTCATATTCACATTAGTCCTACGAGTTATTTATTTTTATCCTATTGCCCAAAGTTATTAAGAGCACATATTAAGTGTTGAATGAATAGTTTGATAATGAGTTGCCCAAAGCCAAATATACTTATTACTGTAAGGGAAAAAGATGGACTTCAAGTCCAGGCCTATTTAACTCCAAAATATATACTAATCTGCCTCCTTGTTTTATCTGATCAGATTGTGTCAAAATCCCTAGGAAGACTGGAACAGTGTGAATTATAATTCTCATTTCGGAGATGATACAATGAGACTCATGGATTTTAAGTGATTTCCCAAATTCACAAGCTGGAGAGTGATGGAATCTGATCTTCCAAGCCCAAGTTTTGAGCACTTCTTAGAGTCTTAGCCCTGGAGGGCCACTAGGGAGCTAACAAGGAGGGAAAGTTTCTCCCACCACACTCTCAGAAAGCAGGTTGTGGTCCATTCAGCAGAGTGACACATTTGATGGCTTGGAGAAAGATGTGGAACATTTACTGCCAATGAGAAACTAGACCCAGGCTTTCCAGCCACAGGTTAATTTTCTTCAAATTTCTCAGAGCAATGCCCAGAAACCTGAAGGGGTATTGCTCTCAACTTTAGTGTTGTTAATCTTTTCATTTTTTTCCTTAATATAAAGCCTTTTTCTAAATTTCTATATTTAATAATCATATTTCCAACACTTTGAAGTACATGTTTATTAGAGAAAAGACCACTTCTATAAGCAAAAATCAGTTATGTAGTTTACAGGTGATAAGAACAGGTGAATCAATCACCTCCTCTGTCTCTCTATAGAGAGATGGTTTGGTTTTGTCCGAACTTGGGGATGTATAAATTATACTGATCCTGATTTTTACTCAGATTATTTTATGCCAGGTCCTGGTTAAGAATTAATGTCATTTTATACTTATATAAAATATTGTCATAAAGTTTGATTATCTCAAATACATAGATAAATAAATGAGGCAGAGAGATTAAACAATTGGTCAGAGTCACACAGAGGATAACAGGTTGATTTGATCTTTGAACTCCTCCAGTCTGACTCCTAACCATTATATGTAACTGCTTCTTGGATCAGTTATGCCTGCTTAGTTTTAAGAGAGTCTCCCAAGCACAACTGAGCAAGTTGAGTTGAGCACAACTCAAAACAGATTTCAAGCCCATGAATGCCCCAGAAATTACCTTTCTTTCTCTCAAGCGCTCATCACCACCACATCTCTCTCTAGAATAGACACTGATCGCCATATGGGTTGACATAGTAAATGTAGATGTAAATTCCTGATAAGCCCAAATTAGCCTCAATTTGTTAGACTCATCCCAACCCTGGACCTAAATGCTGGACAAATCTAAATGGTATTAAGACTGGTCTTGAAGATTGGCAGAAGTATGCAACTTTTTAAGATGTTTTTCCCTCACTTTTACCAATTCACACTCAATTAACTATAAACATATTAGCCATACCTTAGAAAATAACTTAATGATTATATAGTTTATCTCCTTGGTGCACAGAGAATCACTACCTTAACCTCAAGTCAGTATAGGTAAAGTTACAAAAGGATAAAAATCTTAAAAGATTGTTTTAAGTTTATTTATTTATTTTGAGAGAGAGAGCACGTGCAGGCATGCATGCATGTGAGCAGGGGACGGTCAGAGAGAGAGGGAAAGACAGAATCTTAAGCAGGCTCTGCACTGCCAGCACAGAGCCTAATGTGGGGCTCGAAGCCACAAACAGTGAAATAATGACCTGAGCTGAAACTAAGAGTCACTTAACTGACTGAGCCACCAGGTGCCCCCAAAAATCTTAAAAGATTTTTAAGACAAAATGTAATAACTAAGTCTTTAAGACATTTCTTCTAAAAATAAGACAGTACACATCTACGTATGGCATTTATCCATTTCCACAAAGAAAAGATGGCTGTAAATGGTAGCATATTAAAGCAATAATTCTTAATGCTTATAGAAAAAAAGTATTTATCTTACTACCACTCTGTGGTATTGCATAAAACACTGTATATTGTATAACATACATAATATATAAAATTCTTACCAAAAGAACCTGAATGTATGTACCCAAAGTAGCAGCAACTTTTCTGATGTTTTTAACTGCTCTGTTGTAAATAAAAGTTGTAGCACCCCGGTTCCAGTCTACTACAATTACATTCAGATCCTCGTGATTCAGCAAAACCTTTAGAAAGTTCTGAAGCCATTTAGGAGTGGAGCCCATTGGTCTGTATCCATGAATAATCCAGACTGTTTTCTTGCTTGTATTGAAATTAACATTAAGTGAGTTATTCTGCTCAAACAGTGGCTCAGCACAGGAAGGATTGTTTCTTGTATACATCATCAAAACAATGTCCATTTGGGGAGAAAACAAATCTTTGATGGAATGCAATATGTTTAGCTGAGAGAATTCAAGGCATGGTCTTTTATTCTCTGAAATTGAAAAAAAATTCAGTTAAGCTGAGTACTGGGATAGTATTTGATACAATTCTTATTACTGTTTAAAAGAACAGATTTGAACTTGAAGCGTGGGAAGGATTTTATTTCACTAGTATTTCAACATAATATCCTGAGCAACTACAATGATTAATTTGTTGATTATATAAAGACTTTTTGAACAAGAAGCATTCAAAATTTTAAAATAAAATATAGAAAGAAATATGGTTGGTTAGAAAAATTATTTTTTATCTGTACAAAACTGCAATGGTGTGACTAAAATCATTAATATTGTTAGTAACGAAAGTATTATTCACACCAGTAAAAGTACACAAATTGTGAGCTTTAAAAGAAATTCTGCAGAAGAATACTTACATGTGAATAATAATCATTCAAAAATATATTTTATCTAATTAGCGATCAAATAAAAAATCAAAACAATATGGTATAAGTTTCTTCCTATCAAATTAAAGAAAATGAAGAAAATCATATTAATACTTAATACTTGTGAAGGTAAATTTGACACATAATTATATAAATGAATGCTAAGAGTATAAATTGGTGTAGCATCCTTTCCTTTTGAAATTGAAATTATGTGGTACATATTCATAATCTTAAAAATATGTATTCTTCCTCACTTTCCTTCTAGGATTTATATTAATGAAATAAACAATTTGTATTAAATATAAGACATTAATAACAGGTTTATGCATAATTGTACAAAAATTTAAAACAACTTAAATATCATCATTTAGTATTTTCTACTTTTTTTAAGTTTATTTATTCATGTTGAGGGGACAAGAGGACAAGTGGAACAGAGACATAGAGAGAAAAAGAAACAAAGAGAATCTTAAGCAGGGCCCATACTGTCAGCACAGAGCCTGATGTTGGGCTTGAACACACAAACCATGAGGTCATGATCTGAGTTAAAATCAAGAGTCAGACACTTAACCAACTTAGCCACCCAGGCACCCTGTCATCTTATAGTATTTTTATCAATGCATGCATCCTATATGTCTGCCTATCTATCTACCTTATGTACCTACCTACCTATCTATCCATCCATCTATCCTACAAGGAAGTAGGGAAGAAAATAAAATATCTAAGCCAAATCAACAGCAAGAATCATAGCTAGGCAGTGAAACAATGGCTGCTTTTTTAATTTTCTTTTCCATAGGTTCTCAGAATTGTAATTTCTTTCAAAGTAAGCATGTAATCCCATTTTTTTTTTATTTCTAAAAAGAGAGAGAGCATGTGAGTGGGAGAAAGGGGCAGAAGGAGAGAGAGAGAGAGAGAATCTTAAGCTGGCTTCACACTCAGCGTGGAGCCCAACAGGGGGCTGATATCAGGACCCTGGGATCTATGACCTGAGCCAAAATCAAGAGTCTGATCAACTGACTGAGCCACCCAGGCACCCCTCAATTTTTTTTTATGAGAGCATATGATTGTACTGTTTCTGGAAGTTTTACTTGTTAAAAGATTTGGGAAACAATTTGCCAGCATATATCAAAAATTCACAAAATCGTTAATATCTTCATGTCAGTAATTCTACTTCTAAAAATTTATCCCAAGAAAATAGTCATTTAAACATATAAAATCAACTAATGTATATTATTTTAGCACTGGAGAAATAGAAGCGATTTAAGTGTCCAGAAACAATAATGTGATTAAGTAAGCTACATACATATAATATATATGTGTGTGTGTGTGTATATATATATATATATATATATATATATATGTTGTATATATTTAAAACTATAGACGTATAATAGATGTTTGATAAATCCATAATAATATGCACTAATTACAATCTACCTTCTAGTTCAGAGAGTATATATGTGATACTGTCACAATTATTCAGAAGATGAAGGAGGAAGGGAGTGAAGGAAAGGCAAGAACCACAATTAATTCCCAGGTTAACAGCTAAGAGATACTTAGACAAGTGAAAAAGTTTGAAACAAACTTCATTTGTTCTAAGTGCTAGAGAATGAGGAAGTGGAAAGGAGAAATAAATCAAATCACAGTGCAATATCACTGCTTGCTACACTATACAAATTGCATAGGGAATTGTGTACATCCATTTTTCCACCATCTGAAATGTTTCCCTCAGCTGAAACTCTGAGAGGGCCATATGCAATCAATATATCCACACTGCTGGTCCACTCCAAACCAGTGCAGATTTTACCTGGCCCTGGAATGAGTAATGAGGAATAAACAGAAGGACCCCTGTGATAAAGTAAGGGACAGAAAAACCTGAAACAATCTACAGAGAAATCTATTATCTATTGCCAAATGTTGAAGTAACTGCATAAAATTCTATAGCACTCTCATTACAGTACAAGAAAAATCATGTCTCAAAAAACAGGAGGCCATTAAGAGAAAATTTATTGAGGTAAAAAAAAATAATAGGACAAAATTAAAAGTGGAATAATGAGATACTGCAATTCAAGGAAAGAAAAAAATGCAATTGCAGGATAAAAATTCATGTTACACATGAGAAAACATGGAACACCCACCTGACAGTAAGAAATGAAGGAAGAAAGATTTCAATGAGGAGGAGAAACAAAGATAGGGGACAGGAAATGATGATTCAAGTTAAAAATCATCGTTTTCCTGGAACGGGAAATAATTGGAGAGGGAGAGGGTAGCAGTTACAATAACTAAGGAAATAATTGCACACCAGGGTGTGCAAACTGAAAGACTCAACACAATCTAGAGAAAATCAGTTAATTAGACTCATCAAGAGACTTCCTAGAAACTGGTTTGGGTTTTGATGAAAGAGAAAAATATCCTAAAAACATCAAGGCAGAAAATCCATGTTAAAAATAATAGAGAAACGAAGTCTTGATGACTTCAGATTTGCCTTCCGAAGCAATACATTAGACAGATAAAAGTGTAATGAATGAAGGTTATAAGTGGAAAAGTTTGTGGCCTAAGAATTTTATATCCTCCCTTAAGTGCACCACTCACAAATGACACAGTACAGTTCCCGACATCATCATTGTTAAATAAGTGCTATATTTAATGAAGACAAGATCCACAGAAACTCACAGTATAAAAAGATTGAAAGTGAGCATAGAAATAGGTTAGACACCAATATAAGTGTAAATATTAAAAACTGGGTAAAACAAATGCAATATCAAAAGGCATTCTTATTTGAATGTTTGATAAGAATATTTAAATATTAAGACAAGTCAATATACTAATAAGATGGGAATTTCAGTTAAAAGTAGTATCAACAAAGTAGGTGTGGACAAAATCCTTTAACTGGGGGATCAAAAGATATCAGTTATTTTTAATTTTAATATATAGTTAAATGTGGCTTTAAAAAGATATTGAAACCTGAAATGTTAAACCCTGTACTATGTAAAACAGTACATGTAACTTTGTACACACTAAAAACATAGAAGTACAGCAATGTATATATACATAAGATAAGAAAAAATGAAAAAAAGAAATATAGAAAGTTAAATCCATGAAACAAAATAATACAATTATACTAGAGAAAAAAATATATGATATATACAAACTTACGTAACTGTATAAAGATTGCCTATTCAAAAACAAAGAATCTTCAGTTTTCATTAAAAAATGACACTTAGTTATAAGTTATTTAAAAGAAGTAACAGAGATTTTAAATAAATGGGAAGGTATATTCTACACAAAATAAAACGAAAGCTGTTTGGTATACTAGATTATAAGGGTGGCTCCAATTCATCCCCCTTTCCTTGCCATGGAAAATAGGATCTTGGTATATATAATACAAGCAGAAACTTAAAATGGGTTTCTACTTTGCGGGGTTGGCCTCTCCTACTTTGGCCATCACCATGAGAATATCCCTGGTCTGGCCTGTTAGAAGAAAAGAAAGAGGTGTAGAAGAGCCCAGCTCACCAAGTTCCCAGCTGGTCACCCCAGGCGACTGACAGCCAGTCAAAAGCAAAAAAATGCAAGTGAACCCAACAGAAGAGTAGTACTACCTAACCACAAAATCCCCACCTGACTCCACAAGTGTGACTAATGCTGCTTTAAGCCAAATGCTACTGAGGGCCTGGGGTTTTGTTTTGTTTCATGGTGTTTGGCTTTACTGTGACATGATACAATTGATTCCATTGGTAATATTAATATCAGGTACAGAAAATAAAAACAAACGTCTTTAAAAGATAATAAAATGTTACACTAGTATACAGTAAAACTCCTAAAAAACATTTAACTGAATTATGATAGATGTTAGGAATAGAAAAATAAAGTTCTATATATCAAAAACTTATCAGAATTCCCAATAATATTGTCATATTTCTCAGCAGAAACTTTGTAGTCCAGAAGGCAGTGAGATGACATATATTTAAAGTGATGAAAGAGAAAAACTTTCAACCTAGAATTCTATATCCAGCAAAACTGCCCTTAAAAAAATGAGAGTTAAGTTAAGACATCCCTAGACAAACAAAAGCTGAGGGAGTTCACTGCCATAGACTTGGCTCTACATGAAATAACAATGAGAGCCTTCAAGTTGAAATGAAAGTGCATTAGACAAAAACTTAAAGTCATATGAAAACATAAAGAGCTTTGGAAAGGACAAATGTATAAACAAATACAAAAAATATTTTTTTAATTTTGATTTATAACTCTTACTTTTTATTTTCTACAGAATATAAAAGGCAAATGCATAAATACAATTATAAATCTATGTTAATGGTATGCAATATAAATATAACATTTGTGCCATCAATAACTGAAATGAAGAAAGCAGAGCTATAAAGGAGTAGTTGTTTATGTAAAAGTTGTTTTTTATTGAGGTCTTTACTTTCTTGAAGCTAACTTAGTATCAATTTAAAATAGATTGTCATAACTTTAGGATGTTACAAGTAATCCCTATGATAACCAAAAAGAAAATAATCTATAGAACATATACAAAAGAAAATGAGAAGGGAATCATAATGTGTCACTAAAAAAAAAAAAATTAAATACAAGACAGTAATGGAGGAAATGAAAGACAA